CTTTTGTAAGATTTCGAGTTATTTGGAGACAAATTTGCAGCACGAATATTTGAATGTGCCGAATAATTCAAATATTTACGAACTTGAAAGTTGAAAATTTACATTCGAGTAATTGAAAAATTTTCGAGCTGCAAATTTATTTCGAAAAACCTTTACGAGGGCTTAAATATTTCAAGCTGCTCGGAAAATTTCCAGCAGCGTCACAATACTGACATTTTAATATTGTCGTTGGATATAATTTCTTAAAATATTATAATTTATTATCTGATGATCCGTTATTGAAAATTTACAAATTAATTTCTAAAAAGAAGTCCAAAAGAATATTTATTTTTTTTACTTCTATCCATAACATAAAATAAAAAGCGTCGTGGATAAAACAAATTTAAAACAGAAAAACTAATACGTAATTTATCGTCTACAAAACACGAAACAATTTACATCACTCAAGCAAGAGATCCTTGGGCATATGATCTGAATTATATGTATAGCTAACGTATCATGTATCTGTTACGTAAATAATTATTAAATGCTGTGCTTTATGTAAAACAAAATCAATTAAAATTAAGAAATTAGTTCATAGATTTGCAAATAAATGCAAATTACATGTTGATAAATAATTAAGAAGCGAAAAATCATCGAGTAGTAAGTTAATAATAATGTCACTTATCCGTGATATTGCTACGCAATTCTTGTATTGATCAGAGAAGTTACAATTCTGATTGTCACTACAATAACAATAATAATAATGATAATTTGATTGTTTGTATTTATAAATTCTTTTTTTAACTAATCAAGTACAACCTTAAAAACATTTCATTCATATATATAATTGCCAAAATCAGCAACAATAAGACAAAAAATTCAAAAATCTGCACATAATCACAATAAGAAATAGGTATTTACATTTATAATGATTATATAACAATAAACGACTGATTCTCTTTCTCTTCAGAAATTAAGCACAAATATATATCAGTCTTCTGATTTACTTTATCGAAGCATAGTTTTTATATTTACTATCACTTACTATAATATTATGTACTATGTACTTTACTAATTTTACTGATGAGAAAATTACTATTACTAATAAAATTGTAAATAATGAACATTTTGCAATTCTGTTTTTAAATTGAAAATATTGAGAAAAAATAACTCTATATATTATCGCGAAAATATAGTTCTAATAATCTCAAAAAAATGAATCTTTATCTAGAATTTTTTTTTATTCTCGTAGAAGCATGTTTTATTAAAATTTATCTTATATACATCACCATTAAATTACGAACTTTTATGTAATGTATAATATGTACTTAATTTTCGTAATCTACTTATCATTCAAATGTCAAATTTACAAATTTTAAAATAGTATCTAAAATATTATGATCAGAGGCATGAATTCGAATCTTAATATGTAAAATATCATGGTACGAATATTTCAGCAGCAATGATGGAAAAATTCCAAAATGGTAAAAGATTAAATGTGATTAAATTAAATGGCCTCTCGCCATCAGACACATGATTGAATATATAAACGTACATTAATTGATTATTTCATTAATTATAATAAAATATATAATTGTGATGTTAATAAATACTAATTACATCTAACAAATACTGGATAACATTTATTGCTATATTAAATTAATTCCAAAAATTACTAAAACAAACTAAAATTTTCTAGGAAAGAAAAGAACAGCAATAAGATTTATTAGATTAATCGTTTTAATCTAAATTTTATTCAGCCGATAGATCTTTCTACCGGGTTTCGACTTGATCGTTAGATTTGCGTGTCTAGTTTTGCACGAACAAACACGGAAGAAAATAATTTGCAAGATGAAACAGTTCCGTAGCGTGCATGTCAGTGACAAAGGGAATACGTTACCTGAAGTTGAAGAAGTAGAAAAGAACTCCGAAGAAAAAGAAAATTTCAATAAGACCACCCATTTCCGTGTGGAAGAAGGCCGCACGGCTTTTTTTTCACCGAAAGAAGAAAACAATGCGAGAGTTCTCGTTTGGTCTCTATTCGTAAGAGCGAAGAGGATCAACTGTTCGTTTTCATGACTTTGTCACCTATTTCGTTTGGTCACGGATGTTAGCAATCGTGCAAACTCTGATCCAACAAGTTAATTACCACAGATCACTTCATCAAGATCTATCAAAATTCGACTAATTCAATAATTTATTATTTTAGCGTCGTTCGTGCTCGTTGCGCCTCTGTCGCGATCCTCTGTTGATCTCCTTTCTAGAACTTTTGTCAAGCCTTTAATACCAGAAGCAGCGTACATGAAAAAACTGTACTCCTGCCGCGGCAAACGCCGATTTTCTACTGCAACACGTTAAGTAACCACGGGCAACAACGAGGACAGTTCACTGACTCGCTTAGCTAACGATGCAGCACGTCAAGATGTTCGATGTATTATAACAACAAAAACATGTTCCTTAAGGTTAAATATCAACACTCAATGTTGTACACGATTTTATATCATTTGAAGTAAGAAAAATCGACACTTTTATACTAACTATGAACAACTTCAAATCTCTTCGTAATTGAAGATCAATATGACAATCATTCGTCAGAGTTTGTCTTCTCCTTTTTGTTTCTCATGCTTGGAAATGCAAATATTGTATTTTAGTGAATTAATAGATTAATACTGTTTTGATTTATTTTCCATTTGCGACAATGAATGCGTACATATACATACGAATACGTATTTAGCTTTTTAGTATGATGAACTATTCGCTATTAAGCTTCTTTATATTTTGGATTTACATGAGGATGATTAACTGATCGGTAAAGAAAAGAGAAATAACGAGTTTTACAAGAGGTGATCTGAAACGAACATTACTCCACATCTCACACCATCATTGCATTCTATGTAAAAGAATTGGAAAGTACGTACATATTTAGTAGCCATACTAGTAGACATACCACAAAAGTATTCGAACACTTGTGGAAACTTGTATTTGTAATAAGTATACTCTAGCATCTACATATGTGCATTTTCGAATTAGTTTCCAATTTCATCAATATAATAATAGATGCCATGATTTAATAGTAAATGAATAAAAACCCAGACATTCTTTAAAAGTTGAAAATTAGTTCCATTAATTCCAAGATATCTCAATTCCAATGACGTTTCAGCTTCATTAATTTTAATCGTGCCAATTCTTTAGGAAAAGAAGCCTACTTTGCGCAGTTGCGAAATATCATATAAGCCGAAATGTTACATAAGCAAAAAAACATAAAGAAAACAAAGAAGAAATTCGTCTATTTAATTCGAATGTCAATGTAGTTGTTGCAAATGTCACAATCATAACTACATATATACATATATATGTACATACATGCTTTAGAAAACACAAAATAATATCAAAATATCACTATTTTTTTTTTTTTTTTTTTTTTGCCAATTAAACATGGTTGTTGATTACTGTTAATTTAGAAATGATAAGATTAAAATTTGGAAATAGTTACGCAACGCGTGTGATTATCCTTCACAAAATTATTGACATGGTTTACGATGATCGGAGGTAGGAATAACAGTGGCGTTACTTTAAATCAGCCAATAAAATCCCCACGATAATTTATTCGTATAAAAAAAATAATTAAAATTGCTATTATTTTCTTTCACGTAAACAAAACCTGTACCATAAAATTACACTTGGAATGCATTCGTATACACTGATTTATTGTAATCACATATTAGTTCAATGAAAAATTTTGAACATTCAATAGTTACGTGTTTTAAACAATGAACTGAATTAATTTAATCGAAGTGAAAGGAAGATTTAAAAAGAAAAATATCTGATGTTGCTTTATACTTGTCAGTAATAACATTTACACGGCGCACTATATGACAAACAACATCTTGAGCTGTAAAATCGGTATGACCTGAGGCCCAGTTAGTCCCATGCAACTCATAAATTAATCCTATTGAAAGCTATTAACGTTTCGTGCTGGATTTTATTGTACATCAATTTGCAAGAGTACATTAAGATTCTCTGTCTGTATGTTCAAGGAGTTCCATTGGTAGTTCAAGTACTTACGAAAGAATGATTTCATGCAAGACTTATTGTTATACACTTTCTTTTCAGGATATACGCTACTTTCACTAACTAGAAATAGCGTACACAAAAGAATCACTTTTTCCCGTATATTTTAACTTTTTATTAACTTTTTGTTATAAGAATTATGTCATTTTCTACTATTTTAGTAGTATATTTTTATTATTATTTTTCCGTTGTGTTTTGTTTTTGTTATTAGTATCGTTATCATTAACATACTGTAAATTACTTAATAACATGTTAGTAAATATGTATATATTATGTATTCATAATAACAGCAATTATGTAACATGTTGTTAAGCATTATGATGTAAATTACCTTATGTATTATTGATGTAAAAAAATTATAATTATATATTTACTGATGGACTAAAAAATTGTTAATTATTCATTTGATAGTCGCAACAATAATTATAAAAATTAATAACAAATTCAGATTTTATTTAATAATCCAACTCACCTCGTGTTTACTACGATTTCAATTTTTAATAAAACATAACCTTAATTTGTAAAATACGTTAACTTTAATTGATAACTATATAAATAATAATCTTACCTTGTACTGATATATCAAAAACGTTTTTACTATAACACAGAATATTACTTGAAATACCTAAAATACTGAAGTACAATATGCATGATATTGCACGCCATTACGCAAACTATACCACATTTGTATTTATTTTAACGTATTCTTTAAGGCTTTAAGATATATATGATAAAATTATTGTATACAAAAATATAACATTAGACAATTAAAGATTTATTACTATAATAAAAAACTTAGATTTATATTAAAAAATCTGTGATGAAACATTTTATTTTCATTATATATCTTTATAACCACTTTATATTTGATGTGGAAAATACAATAAAATAAAAATTATTCAGTAAATTCTAAGAAAATTACACAAAAATAAAATCATTCGCTTAACATTAATTTAATATTTACCGTATAAATATCATATTTTTATTACATCTATTACATGTTTATGTTTATACAATCACATTAGAAGAGATACATACGAAGCGTGTAGCATACGTAGCAACACGTGTAAACATTGAAAGGATATCATAAAAGGATGATCTGGTTGTAAAAACATAATTATTGTTTAATTACTTTAAATTATTTAATTACTTTGACTAAGTAATTGAAACTACGATAAAATGGTAGTAAGTAATTACAATTTTACTTTAATTTAGAAATTAATCAAATTATTAACCTATCTACATGCGCATGATAATATGTTTTACATATAATAAAAATATTATTTTAATTCTTTTATTAATTTTAAATTATAAATTTACATATTTTAACTTATCTAAATTCTTAACTAAATAGAAAAAACTCAAAATCAGTGCGGTTAAAAGAAGTAATCAAAAACGAACCAAACTTTCGCAACAAGGAAAACTTAAAACAAGGAGACATAAATTGGCAAAGAAACAAATCCATAAGAAAGTACTTCCACATACAGAATCCGTGGAAGAAGAAGAAAGTGATCATGGCGAAGATCTTATGGACATGATTGAAGAGGAGGATCTAGATTTTTTAAAGAAAGCCATTTCTAATAAATCATATAATTTGTTGAAACAAATTCATTTAAACGGGTATAACATTGTAATAATTAATGACTTTAGTTTAATCTAGAATAATTATAAGTGATATGTATATTTTTTAGAGCAGCTGATGATAAAACAAACCATAAAAATAAGGGGAAAAAAGAAGAAGACACATTAGAGGAAAGGTATGAAACTAACATATCAAAAATAATTGAGACAGAAGGAACGAAGAAGGTTCGTATGTTACTTCCTATAAAAACTCAAAATGGAAGTATAGAAAGAAGATTAATTCAAGAAAATGATATTGATAATGAAAATGCAATTCATGAGACACATGATGCAGAAAACAGTAAAATGGAATTAGAATCCAATTTTCTTGTAAGTTTTCATAAAAATGAATAGAGCTCTAATAACCTTCATTTTTTATATATTAGTTAATTTTTTAGGATAAGGATGAAAATGAAGATATGAAACCTGTGTCTATCATAGAACTTGTAGCGTGTCGTGAAGAAGTACTGAGATCTAAACGTTTAAAAATTGGATTATTATCTAGTAGTCTCTTAGAAATGCCAGAAGCTAAATGTGATAATTTTAAAACATTATTAGAATTAATGGAAGAAACTAATCCAGAGGTATACATTACTGTAAGAAAATTGGCAACTGTTTCTTTACTGGAAGTTTTTAAAGATTTGTTGCCATCTTATCAAATTCTTCAAATTCAGCAGGAAGGTGTAAGATGTATGTACCTGTAATAATATGCAAATGGTATGATTATTGCAAAATATATATTTTTTCATTCATTTTTTAGTAAAGAAAGAAACACTTGCATTACAAAATTACGAAGCTACATTATTAAGATATTACAGACAGTATTTACAAAAGTTAGAAAAAATGACTAATATATTAAGAAGGAAAAAAGGAGATGCACGACAAATAAGAAAGCAAGAAATTGAGCTAGGGAAAGTTGCAGTAAAATGCATGTGTGATCTTTTAACAACTCATTCTTACTTTAATTATTCTATTAATATAGCAAATTTTCTTATACCATTGTTAGATAATAAAGATAAGTTTGTAAGACAGGAAGTGTTAAAATGCATTTCCCAATTGTTTAAAGAAGACCAACGTGCTGAATTATCTCTAAAAGTAAGAAATTTAAATCCTTGTATTTCATTTAAATTGAATTTTAAAAATATAATATAATAAATATATTAAATTTTTAGATAGTACGTAAATTAAACCAATACATAAAATTAAAAGCTCATTCTGTTCATTCTGAGGTTCTATCAGTATTTTTGTTTCTTCGTATAAAAGATGTAAATCTAGATAAAGAAAAAGAAGAAGAGACTAAACAAAAAAAACTTATGTCTCATAAACAAAGAATTCTTGCTTTAAGTAAACGTGAAAGGAAAAAGAATAAGAAACTTGAACAAGTGGAAAGAGAATTACTTGAAACTAAAGCAGAAGAGAATAAACAAAGCAAACAAAAATTACTTACTGAAATAACAAGTGTAGTATTTACGATTTACTTTAGAATTTTGAAACAAGTTCCAAATAGTAAAATCTTATCTATTTGCTTGGAAGGATTAGCAAAGTATGACAGATTTTTACTAAGTTTAATTACATATAAAATAATATAATATCTAATAATATTCAATTACAGGTTTGCACACTGCATAAATTTAGATTTTTATCAAGATTTAGTAATTGCTATAGATAAGCTAATGGAAGAGGGTAATATAAACTTGAAAGATCAATTGCACTGTATTCAATGTGTATTTACAATATTATCGGGACAAGGTTCAGCATTAAATCTTGATCCTTACAGGTTTGTATTAAAAAAGAATAAATATTGAAAATAAGAAAGCTAAGATAAAATCACATATCATATTTATACAGGTTTTATGCACATCTATACAAAAATTTACTGAATATTCATTGTGGTAGAACGCACCCAGAAATGGAAATTCTTATAAAAATTTTAATTCAAGCTTTAATTCATCGAAGAAAAAGAGTTACACAAAGTCGTTTAGTAGCATTCATTAAAAGAATAGCTACTTTAACTTTACAATTACAACATAATTCGGCACTTGGCATTCTTGGTATTATAAAACAAAGTATGCAACTTGGAAAAACGCTGGATATTTTGTTGGATACTGACTATTCTACTGGAGATGGTTTTTATCAAGCAGAACTAGAAGAACCAGAGTATTGCAATGCGCATTGTTCAGCATTATGGGAACTTACAGCTTTACAAGTACATATTTACATAGGTTATATGATTTTAGTGAATTTAAATATTACTATTACTAAACATACTTTTATTTTTATTATTAGCGACATTATCATAGTGTTGTACAAAAAATGGCAAAAAACATAGTTCGGAACGTGCCATCAGTAGGTGAAGGCAGTTTATCTCCAGAAATTGCTAAGCTGTAGGTTCAGCATGTTTTTAAATATTTAATACAATCATACTATTCACGTTTATCATTATCCAACGAGTTTTATTCTACAATATGTTATAATAGATATTTATATCTTTTTATTGTTCAGGCAGCGCTTAATGAAATATAATAAAATAATATTAAATAATAAACAAAAATATATAACAAATTTTAAATTTTTATATTTGTTTCAGTTCTCCAGAAGAACTTTATACTGAATTTGATCCTACTGGTGTTGTATTTAAACCAGCAGTACCAGTTCCAAAAAAAACAAGTGTCAAGAGAACAATAACAACTCATCATTTTATAAATACTAAATTTAAAGAATATATTAATACTATAAATAATACTGAATTATTTGCATATGGATATATAGATTTTTATAAAGCTTATAATAATTAATACTGTATGTAATGCAAATTATAAAGATCAGAATTAAATATTATTCATATTTTGTAAATAATAACAATTAATTTTTATAATCATATTATTAATTTAAATATTACATTTACAATGCTAAATTTCTTAAACAAATGTTATTTTCAAATAAAGAGATTGAAACATTAAATATGAAAGTAATTACTACTTTTAACAAGAAAATGAATATTTGTATAAGGATAATATCCTTGGATATTTGCATATCTGTAATATTTATAATTTATTACCATATTCTTACACTTCTTATATATCTTTAGTTAAGATAAAACATTTTATATTTGTAAATTTATTACATCATCGATATTAGTACATTCTGAATTGTTTTCTTTTGTTACATTTAATTTTACTTCAGTCAAACTTTCTTTGCCACTTGTCTGTGAAGATGGATCAACTTTTTGCGAAGGTATATGTTTACGTTCTATAATATTCATTTTTATAGCATCTTCTATTTCTAATACCTCATCTATTATATTATTTTCATTCTTTGTCGCTTGCTTTGTAGCAATTTGAACATATCGATGCTCATTTTTATCAAAATTTGGTAATTTTGATGTATTAATTTTGTCGATTGTCTTTGTTACAATGACTTGTTCATTTTTATCATTTTGATGGACTGATTGAGAATTTCTTCTCGCAAGAATTATCTTAGTATATTTAACAGTAGGTTGATTGGAACGAGTTTGTATTGGAATTGTAGTTTTAGTTTTAGACGAAGTGGAAGTTTGAGGCTTTGTTTGTAGTATAACGTGATTTAAATTTTGTACATTGGGACATATAACAGCTTGGGTACAAGGTGTTATAAATTTGTTAGTTTGCTGAATTTTATCTTGTTTATTACTTATAAGAACAACTTTGGTATTACTGTTCAACTTATGTATACTTTTTTCATGAATGTCTACAGGCATTGTCTGAGATAAAGATGAATTTTTTTCAATAGAGTTTAAATTATCATCATCTTTTGCAAAGATTATTGGTATATCTAATATATTTCCCAATTCATCATCAATCTCATTTACAACAGAATTCTTCTGTACTGTTTGAGGTTTGTGAATTCTTTGTAAATTAGATGTATTGACTGTTATTTTTGGCATTGTTTTAGTCGACTTTTGAGTAATTTTCAGTTTATTAGATATTGGTAAAATAGTGCCTGAACTTTGACTGCTTAATGGTAATATCACTGATGAACAAACAGGTTTAGAATTAAGGGAACTTTCAACCATAATTATATTCCCACATGCTGTATTATGAGAGGTATCGTTGTTACAAGTTGTTACTTGTCGAGGTATTTGTGACATCTTGAATGTATCCAGGGAATGAGTAGAATTGAGCATCACATGTGAAGAACTATTGGTTGTTGCCATGTCGTCCATCACTATAAAACACATACATATTTGAGCAATTTTTAAAAATATAAATAAATGTAAATAATTCACTGCGTCAAATTATCATTCAAAGATAAACATTTTTCTTTTAAATGATTTTTAAAAATAGTTAGGAATATAATAAAAACCATGCACAAATTTATTACAAGATAAAAGATTTGATTTTTAAATTTCATTAAATGTTATCAAAATTATATAATTTATATAATTAAAGTATAATTTATATATTTTAAAGCAAGAAAATTCTTCAATAATTTATTAATAATATTTTAATAATTATTTTGTTTAATAATATAAAAAATTTGATAAGATAACATTATGAATGTAACAAACAAAATTTTCAGTAGTTCTAATGTAATTGAAAATTGTTTAAAGTTAGTATTAATTAGGATTGGGACAAGGAGACAAATAAATTCAAATTACATGGAAAAATGTTTATTTAACACAAAATAAAAGATAGTAGTAACATATTTACAACATATTACTTTAGATACTTTTAAATGTAAACTTATATTAATTGTAAAGTAATATAAATACATGCTACATTTGAACACATGTTACATCACATGCTAAATAAAGACACACATTTACTGATGACTTATATATAAATAATATAGAAGAAATAAAAAGAATACAAATAAGCTAGTAATAAGAACAAAATTTTATGACTAGAAAATATAAGATCTATTTCAATTTCATAGACTATTTTTATTATTCTACAATAAAAAATATAATTAAAATTAAGATTAAAATCTATTTTTTCTATATAATTTCAAAAATATAAACAAAATTTATCTAAAACAGATTCATTTTATAAAAAATTCGTTTTATCATATTAATGATATTCATGCACATTTTTTTTTTGTATGCATGTATAAATATGATCCATATGATATTATATAAAAATGTATATTTATAATTAAATTAATAAATTATAAAAAATATGTAACTCCCAAATATTATTTTAATGAATCAAAAGAATGATTGAATGATGTTACTAATAAAAAAATATATTTAGATAACAATTCTAGTACTAAAGTTGTACATATACAATAAAAAACTTACATAATAGAAATTTGCATGATATATACTTTGATAAATATGTTGATAGATGATATGAATGCTTCCTTCCAGTGCTCTTGTTTATTTAATCACTACATGCTAAATACTTAGGAATTTATTTTACTATTCAACTTTTTGTGCTTTTTTTATTGTATCTGTGTTAATTTTGTTAGATCATGTTTATTTTGAGATAAATTTGACAATTTAATATTGGTTTTACTTTTATGTATTTTAGGCATTTTAAATATATATGTTGCAATTATATAATTTTTATATACATATATACAGAAATTATGTTACAAAATTTGAAAAGTAGAATTAAAGCTTTTTTTAAATAATAAAAGTTATTTTATAAAGTATTTTATAAAATATTCAGAATAATTCTTCAAAATAATAATAATTTACATCGATTTAATAATTTCTTTTGTTGAAAATTGAATTTTTATGTTTGTAAAAATCATATACATTTAATTAAGTATTAGAAACGATTATGATGTAGATATATTATTTAATAGCTGATTAGATAATAATATTCTACCTTTTGGTATAGTCGATGTGGTTGATGCTATGTTTGCCACAGAATTATTTGGTGTTAGTAAAATACTGGAAGCTGCCGATACACGCGCAGATGATGAGCTAGTAGTGAGTGGAAGAGATGTTTTGCCATTTTGTAAAATATTTGATAAAGTTCCATTTGATGTACCAATCGTAGGTATCGCTGTGAAACAAGAGAAGTACCTATTATGCAAAATATATACAACAGAAATAAAGAGAAATAGAATGTAATTTTTAATGAAAAATTCACCTGTTGCAGTTGAAGTATTCACTCTAATCTGATTTCCTGATGATGTTAAAACATTAACGAGTTTCGTATCTCCATTTTTGTCAGGAATATTAAGATGCCTATAGTTGTTTGACACTACTTTAGAAAAATTTTTACTTGATGATACAATGGCTTTCATTTTTGACACGTTTTGTAACTGTACACTCGTTGATACAATTTTAGGCACTTTAGTTGACGCAACTGAAGATTTAGGAATATTTTTAATTGTTGTAGAGACACCTTGACTAGATGATGCTGGAGCTAAACGTATTGGGCCAATTGGTGCTAAACTTGCCAATGAGCCAATATTTAATGTTATACCACTATTATCTGAAGTTGAATTTGGCTAAAAAAAATATATACATATTTTATCTTTTTCTATTAAATATGTATGTATTATATACAACATATTACAAAATATGTACATATATTTTTTTATTAGATGCTTCCTTTTTAACAAGTTTTTTTTTAAATTACACTTACTTGTCCAGAAGTTACTTGTCTAGAAGTTATTAAATGTTCTACAAAATGGCATTTCTGATTACTAACAACTCGAGGTTTTCGTTTCACAGTCTGTACATGATTGGTATGTATTCCACTCACTGCGATTATATTTTGTTGCGTATTGAATGTTCCTACTCGAGAAATCGCAGCTGACTGTGTATTTTGTCCAATAGATACTACTGAAGAAATTGGTGTATTTGGTCGAGATTTTTTTATAGTAGGAGAATTTGGTTCACTTTCAACGGAACTACTTGTTGAATTTTTTCGTTTTCGAGTATCTTTTCTGTTATTTTTATTTTCATAACTTGACAATGATGTTGCTCTTAAAGGTAGTGGATGTGGTTGTAACAGAATAGTTCCCACAAAATCTCCAATTTCATCTAAGATACATCTATCTACCATATTTTGTGTAATACCCTCTGATATTTTTTTAGCAGTACATATTCTTAAATGATCATCAGCAGTTCCAACCATGACCAAACTTGTTTCAACCATCATTTTTTCTCTGGCATCTTCTAATTCATCAGGTCTTACAAGTGTAGCATTTTGTCCTATGACAAACATAACTGGACATCGAATATCCATTAATGTATCATCAGGTGTACCTCTTTTTCCTTCAACTGTAGAAACTGGGAAACCAAGACAAATAACTGCAGTTACATGTTCCATTTGTGCTACCTATAAATATTAAAAAAATAACATGTATTTAATATTTTTTTTAATTATACTATTATGTTATACATTATGCGTATTTATATAAATACTATACCTGACATGCAAGAGCAGCACCAGTATTAAATCCAACAAGAATGATAGGCCTACCAGGACAATCACTTCTGATATCTTGTATTTTAGTTCTAGTGGCTTGAACTAACTGGTCAATGCACACCATCATAGTCATTCTATTAGCTGCTAAACCTAAGTGTGTATGAACAGTAACAACCATTCCTAAAGCTCCTAATTGTGAGATCCATCTATGTTGCCGAGTAGACATACTAGAACCCACTCCAGAAGGAACTATTATTAAAATTGGATTTCCTGGTAACTTTTTCTGCAATAAAAATAATTACATCCATAAATATATATTATATATTATAGTAAATTATGTAATAAAATACACATACAAGTCTATTATTATTTAAACTTGGAGCAATTGGATCCCATGTACGTTTAAGAAGTGATCCAAGTGTCTCCCATGTTATAGAACCTGTTTTTCCACTGATATTTGGTTGTACAGCAATCATTTTATCAATAAGTTGAGGAATTTTTAATCTTAAACATTGTAATATATCAAGATATATTCCAAGATACTCTTGAGGAAGATGGTCAAACAATAAATTGTGCAACCATTGTGCAAGTCTCCAATCCCAACCAGCTGATGCTAATGTTTCTCTAAATCTCCTTGCAGCTGTATCAACTGATGTCCTTCGGTAAATTGGTTCTATTGAACTATTTACTTTAGCTAATCTTGCAAGTCTTTCTGAATTTAATATTTTCAGAACTTTAGTAAATATTCGATTCTGAACTGGTGTCCATAAAATTTTATCAAGCTTTTCTTCCCAATCTTCATTTTCATCAGGTCTAGCAAAATTTGCTAACCTTTGTAACTCATCCATTTGGTGTCGAACTTTAGTAAAATCTATTGGTGGTATTAATGGTTCATTAGTATCTTCTTCTATATTGATTTCTTCATCCTGAGTAACTTTTTCCCTAATATAAAAAAATTATAATATAGTTTTATGTCTAGTAATTACATTTATAATTCTCTTATCATTACTTCTTACATTAATAAAGTTTTCTTTGAAAAAAATAATTTTTTTATTGGCTTTACATAAACATTTTCTGGTTTCCAATTCCATGGACGTGCATAACAATGATCTTTTGCAAGCACATTAATTTCTGTTTCACAGCATCCAGCAAGCTGATGCAAATATGTAGTTAATCTACTAGGATTATCTTCAATTGTATCGCTAATAGGACTTGGTATTCTAGAAGTGTTTAGTGATGTGGAAGGCATCGTTAGCATTGATGTTAACATTATCAAATTACTTATACTGAATATATTTATAATTATAATGCATTCAATGAATAACACTGTAATCATTTAGTTTTTCTCACATGACTGTCACTATTCTGAATCTGTATGGTAAAAATTAATAAGATTATTATATAGTTAACAATTATAGTACTAATGGTTTGTAAGGGTAAAAATTACTTAATATTTTTAATATATAAAAATAATAAAAAAAATTATTAAACAAAATATACAAAAATTAACCTTTTAAGTATAAAATTTATATACACATAAAAAATCGTGTTCTCGAAAATATTTTCATGATGAAACTAACCTTGAAAATCTCAATTTCAAATTGGAAACTTTCAGTTGTACTGTTGCAATAATAGTCCTATTTCAACTAGCAAACAATGTAACACAATCTAACCCTAGAAAACACAAAAACACATGTGAAACAAAAACATGATGTGTGTAAATATCTAAAATTATATCATTTTTCTTATATTTTTTATCAATACAAAATAATTATTCTGTATTGATTTCAATAAGTCGCAATATGATAAAATGCAAGAAATGAAAAAAAAAATAAAATTAATAAAAATAGATGTAGGTAAAATTAATAAAAATAGATACATAGAATTCCAATTTAGTGCATAATGTTCAGAACAATGAATGTCCACTAACACCTATGATACCCTAACTAATCAATCTACAATTGCAAAGTTAAACTAAATTTTACGTTTTTTTAAGGTTTTTTCGACGATTGCAAAAGTAGTTATATGTGCTAGATGAATAAAACAATACTCATAGTTTACATGGAAAGTATTCTAAAACATTCGGGCATTCAATGTATAGTGCAGTATATTTTATAGCAAAGTCTGATTTTCAATGGACATTTAACTATACTATGCGTTAGTATCATTACAAAAACGATGAATATAGTATTTTTCACAAGATGAAATTGAATGTTATGTAAATCGAATATAGTTAAATTTTGACGTATTGTATATTACATCTAATATTATATAATATTACATAAAAATATATATTTGTAGAATATATGTTTAATGATTATGGGAAATGTCTTAAATTGTGTGTCAACAACAATCAACAAATATTTGTTTTTAGAAAGAAACGTTTCAGTGCATTGACAAAGGTTGGTGACAAAAAATGAATCATTTATATATTTTTAATGTAATCTCATCAATAATTATAAATATAACTTTTTTAGATAATTTTGAAACCAATAACAATACTTAATAACTTATGCTATTCAAAACTACAACTGTATATATATATTTGTATATTTATATAATGAATTATGAATTATCTGAGTTTGTATAATTCAGTATTTGTTTGTATATATTTTTATAATATTTGTACTCCATTAACTTTGAATTCGTAATGGCTATGGCACGTGGTAAAGATTTTTTAACAGAATATTGGTTTGATATATTATTGAGAATTGTCTTAGTGGGATTATTTATGTAAGTTGCATTTAGTTTATTATAATAGGATAATGGTTATCTAAAAATAAATATACTATGATTTATATATAGAGAATTAGAAAATGCAGAACCATTTACTAGGAAAATTCATGAAGATGAATTATGGTTATATAAAAATCCAAGAACAGAATCTTATGTTCCAACTACTATATTATGGGTAATGTATTTTATATTATTATACATTATAATTAATTTTTATATAAAATTAATTTGTATGTTTTATTTATTTTCAGCCCGTAGTTTTTATAATGCCTGTTGTTGTAATCTTTTGTGTATTTTTGTTTTACAAAGACAAAACTGATATTTATCAAGCAATATTATCTGTAACTTTAGCATTAGGATTTAATGGTGTTATTACAGATATTATAAAACTTGTTGTTGGTAAGAGTTATAGTAGAGAGTTATAGTAAGAGTTATAAAGCATTATTTCTGTTTTGAAAATCATTGTAACAGATATCTTTGCTAGGTCGCCCTAGGCCAGACTTTTTTTGGAGATGTTTTCCTGATGGACAAACAAATCCAGATTTTAAATGCAATGGAAATCCAGTTGCTATAAAAGATGGAAAGAAATCATTCCCAAGTGGTCATTCCTCTTGTATGTTAAAGAATGAAATATAAATTACATGAAAAAACTTAAATTTCATTGAAAAATCTATTTGTTTTTTAGTCGCATTTGCAAGTTTTGGTTTCATTGCACTGTATGTAGCTGGTAAATTACATACATTTAGTTTAGTGGGCAAAGGACAATCATGGAAATTATGTGCTTTTGTATTACCAATTTGCATTGCTCTTTTAATCGCACTGAGTAGAACATGTGATTATCATCATCATTGGCAAGGTAAGCATATTTATTTATTGCATTAGTAAATAAATATTTTAATTCCAAAAATATTAGATGTGGTTGCAGGTTCCGTGATAGGATACTTTTTGGCATATATATGTTATAGACACTATTACCCACCATTAAATTCACAGGTATGCCATAAACCATATGCTGCTCTCACCCATCAAATTCAATTGGAAAATGCAAAAAACAAAAATGAACAAATCAAATGGATATAACAAAAAAGACTTTACAGTATTAAGATTATCATGATAATTTAAAATAAAATCGTGAAATTGTCGTATATTTTTTATATATTAATTTCCATTATTTGTTATTTATAAATGCAACAAGTAATATAAATATAAATTAAATATTTATATTGTAAATATACACTCTGTATTATTTAAAAAAATACCAATGTAATCAATAAAAGCTATTTGCTTTAGTAAAAATGAAGTTTATTCGAAATTGTTTGAAATGGCGTGATTGAAATATTCGCGGGTATAACGAACGGTATATTGCGCACATACGCCATTTTGGAAATTTCGCGTATGGTGCGCCATCAAGTTGGTTTAGTTAAATAGGAGCAGTCACAAAGTCGATGGTGTTAGTGCTTCTCGGAAGCTTTTTATCTTGATGGTTGTACGTATATCTTTATGAATTTTTGAATTCATTTGGATATTTCGTACGTTTTCAAAGGGAGATACACATTATATTTTGCGTATTGTTCACGAATGATACTTTAGTATACATTCTCCGCGTAAATTAATAGCTATATCAGGTTTCTCGGATCTGTGAAGTGACATAGTTATTTACGAGCTGTTGTGTTGGTGAAATGTTGTCTCAACTTCCTGTACATGGCGAAGACTCATGAGCGTCGTCAGTCGTGTTGAATAGTCAAACGTTAGTGTTCAAACGGTGTTTTATCCTTTTTGCAAGGATTTCTCTTATCAAATTGATAAACTCGCATCATCTGAATCAATTATATTGTGCCAGTTCTGTGTAAAAATGATGAACATGGAAACGGATGAAATTATTGAAGACACAAACACGAATCTTCAGGTACGCAACACATATTAGTATTTTTGACCCGAAACCTACCGCCATCTTATGTTTCCTTATGATGGAGAAATTCACTAATATTTTACGATCGACCGTTATTCCCGCGAGGTTTACACCTGTTATATGTATTTTCTAACGAACTAGTCATAAGAATATCTTGTGTATACGAGAGGTTATAGAATACGATTAAGTGCTATCATATATGATTGCCATCATTTCTCTAAATTCTCCTGTCCCAGGATATTTATGTATGTCTAATAGTGACAGTTATCTTATTACCTTGGTGAAAATTAAAATTGCATCATTCTTATTTTTCGTTTTTTATTCAGTCAAATTAATATCGCTATATACATATCATTATATTATTTGTATAATGTTACAAAAGTTTAACATTGATTGCAGGAAATGTATCTCGGTACAATATGATTAAAAATACATATTTTTGTTGAAACAAAATCGTAGTCGCACGCCATCGTGTGATTAGCATTGCATTTCTAGTATAAATATTCTAATATTTATCTAGTTAATCGTATATTAGTTTTATTCGAGCATACCTTTCTTTAAATTTTTTATTTTTACAAATTTCTAACACAAAATAGGAATATTCGCAATATAGAACATAATGATTTTATTGCTATAGAATCGTAATATCAAGGTGTTACTTGCTAATTTTTTCTTGATTTTTATTATCACGAAACTGATACATATATTTTATTGAGAAATTACAAATTAGCTAATATAATATAATTAACAATAACGTAATTTCATCGGGTACCATCGTCTTCGTTGTCAGAACAAGGAATTTTGTTTAAATAAAAGTTTAATTTTCAAGCTTGGCAGTCTGAGAACAACTTACTACGTGATCAATGTTTTAGCATCAGTCTATCTTTTCTGTGATCCTTAACTTTTTTTTAGCCTTTTTTTCGTAATTTTATACTAAGCCCCATCATACTCGTAGTAATATAGCGTTATAAACAATCGAATAGAATCTCGATTCTCTTGCATTTATTTCTTTATACGCGCTTATAATTGTTATAAAAATTTGTGATTGATTTTTATTAGCCACATTTGTTATTTAATGTTACAGTGATATTGATTTGTACGTATAATTGGATATAAGCCAGAACGTCGAAGAATGTAGACTAGAATGTAGAAGAATTTAAAGTTTTTATGTCCGGTTACGACAATGTTAAAAGAGACATATCTTAAAATTCGTAAAGGAATAGTACGTATATAAATTTCGTTTGATAAATTACACATTGTTTGTTACAGAAATCATTAACTTTTTTAAGATAAACTCTAGTATGATTAATCTGATAGATAGATAAAAAAATTTAAGAATACGATCTCTGCGTGTGTTGTATTCGAGTTAAATTACGTGTGTAAAGGAGATGTAATATTATTTTCGTTAATGAGATACGAGTACATTTGTGTTATCATAGTTATTAGACTGTATTTATTAATATTTTATTAAATTACTTTATTATTGGTCAATACAAATAAACCTTATATTGTATCGCCAAGATACAAGTACGTGACTCATCATTCCAGTTTCGCTCATTGCTACATTACCATGCACATTTGTAATTTTTCAGTCTTTTATTTTAATCCAAATCTGTATAAATAAGCAACAATTATTTAAAAGTAATGAGAAAGCGTTATATCACGATTACCAATTTGCGATCTTTATAAAATTGAATGTACATGAATCTTTTTACCCTTTTTCTTTTTTATTCTAGAGACTTCTGGTTCTTGGAACTTCTCTTTGCTTTATATTTTCAGAGACAAATACCGTTCTGAAATTTAATGCCGCAAGTATTCATAATTAAGGACGACAGGAAATTTCGAAACGTTCGCGTGGCTCATTGTTATATGTACATATGTACTTTTTATAGTTTCTTTTTTCTATTATAAATTTTATGTTTCCGTTCACTTTCACGTTTACGAATATTTTTCTAGTCACGAATACGTTTATACGCGTGAGTCTACATCATGTATGGATTTTTTCACACTTATATTTCTTATCGATAAACGATAAAAAGAAAAGAAAAGAAAAAGTGTCTGTAAATGTAAAGATAAAAAATCACAAGGTACAGGAACATTTTTTTTTTACAATTTCTTCTTGATTTCTTTCCTTTATGATCTAATGCACATGCGAACGCCAATGATAATATTGTAGATTAGGTATTTCGAAGAAATATCGACTAATGATTTGGGCTGTTGTCGGTATCAAAATATTGCCTTTCTATCTTACATCAATCATCAAAAACCAGTAAAGAACAATTATTAGCATTTCAGTGTACGTATTTAGACGTTACTACCTGTTTAATTCTGTATGAAAATTTCAAATCTATACATGTACATATAATTTACGTTCGTTTACTTGGAAATTCTCGTTTTGCGTGATTGCTTATTAAAATGGAAAGAGCATGTAAAGGATACGGAGACAAAGAGATACAAAGAGCATAGATTCGACACGCGACACGAGTTCGCGATCCCGTTATACTGGGAACACCGTACTGAGAAACATTTTCAGATGATCGAGGTGTACTTCTCGGTCGCCAGGACTCTTCAATGTTGCTATGCTATCTTTTATAGTCGAATGATCACGATATCTTAAATCTTTCGATTTAAGATATCGTGTACTTGTAATACACATGCATAACAATTTAATTACACACTTTCAGAAGTTTGCGTTACCCTTCATGCACAAAGATGCATTGATGGTTCTTTTCTTTTTTCTAGTATTAAAAAATGCGAAATATCAAGTTTGAGATTGTAAGGAATAGTGTGAAGGACTATTGCGCAATCCTAAGATGTAAAAATTAATTGAGTTTCAGAATTTTTCTTTGTATATAAGTAATTATAAAGTGAAAAGTTCAAATTCTTATGAACAAGATTAATGTAGTCTTATCTTCGGTTTGTAATCTTTTTTTAAAGATTATAGAAGTTGTTATAAATAGCAAAGTTATTTTTTACAGTCGAAACTTTGAAAGAGAAAATACAAAATTTTAATAATTGTAGAAATTGTGAAACAATTTTGACACAACACGATCGTTCCTATAATTTCATCCGAAGAGTTTGATAAATTCGATAAACCGTTTTAGTAGAATATTCTATGCGTTTAAAGAAAAAATTAAGAGAAAAATTTTTGTCAAAATGGTTCGCTCCCTTAATGATGAAAGCTGATGTTTCTTTATTTGCAATTATGGTATAGGAAATGTGTTTGAATTTTTGGATATAAATGTTTTATTGCAATACATTTAATGAGATATGCGTCTATTATAAGAATTTTCGCTTTCAGAGGTAAGTAGCGCTAACAAGTAGGTCAGATACGAAATATTGGATTAGTGCAAGCCGGTCCGTCGTTATAAGTTTCTTTATACGAATCGTGTATTAATACGAGTTAAACAGTAAACTATTTCCTTTCTCCCTTTTTCTCCCCATAATGGCCAATGTTATTACATATGTTAAATGCCACATTAAGTTATTTCAGTAAAAAAATTAATTGCATTATTGTTTCTTATTCTTTTTTACGAATAATTATGTATTTAGTGTATTCACGACTTTGTTTTAAAGTATGATCATCCATTAATTATTATATATTTGTAGAAATCGTGATTTAAAAAGACAAATTGCATGTTTAAACTGTCAACTTCTGCAAACGTTTGGTGTTTTGTAGAGGGTAGCCTATCTGAGGTCAAGAACCCTGATATCATACTCTATCTTAACATACATGTGTCACCTAATAACTTTACTACTATTTTATATGATACTCTTACATATATTCATATAATTAACAATATTCATTATGATTTAGTTATGTATTAAAAAATTTTAAAACATACAATAATAAAAAATATATCTGACTATTTTTATATGCATCTTTTGAAGTATGTGACACGTTTATAATATAATAAATATATATATTTGCACTATTATCAACTTTAAATTAAATTGCAAACAATTTTTTAAGATGATATTTTTTGATCTAGAAAAAAAATAATCTTTATAATATGTATAATTTTTACAATGTTTTTTTGCAGTATCCAATAACGATACTTTATGATCCTACACGCAAGAAAGAACTGCCATCTGGACTATCGGCACAATATAGGCAGGAAAAAGAAACTTGTATGAAGCTTTTTGAAAAGTGGAGTGAATCAGAACAAGTTAACTTTGTTGAACAATTATTAACAAGGATGTGTCACTATCAACATGGTCACATCAATGCATATCTGAAACCAATGTTGCAGAGAGATTTTATTTCTCTATTACCAAGTGAGTATTTTTATTGAAACATACTATTAAATTCTTCATGAATTATTTTTTTGTGTTTAGAAAAAGGATTGGATCACGTGGCAGAAACTATTCTTTCCTATCTTGATGC